TTTCTTGGGCGCGGGTTTATGTTGTTGTTGTGTGCAATCTCTTTCATCCAATACGGACGCTTTCAAAAAAGGGAGTGTTCCGCGTTCCTTAAGTCATTCCCCTTTTGTCTGTCTGTTAGACGAGTCTGTCTATTATTCTCTAAGCACCCCCCCCCCCCCTTATGTCTTTATGTGTCTGTCTGTCTGTCTTTATCTCCCTGTCAAACTTTATATTAGTCTGCAAAATGCTGCTTCTGTCCGCACAAACTGTTTTTACACACTCCTTCAAACACTCTCTCAAGCACATACATGCACACACACATACACACACACATACACACACGCACACACATATACACATACACACACATACACACACGCACACACATATACACATACACACACATACACACATACACATGCACACCCACACACACACCTAATATCTTCACACAAATTTAAACTATTCGCTTTCCTTTTAGGTGCGGCAGACTCCGATGACGGCAACTACTTTGAAGTAGACGAAAAAGGAAAAATCAAGCTGCGAGAGGGAAAGAAAAAGATAGACTTGTCCAAGCTTACAGCCGACGATCTGAGGAAACTTGGCATCGATCCCAATCTCTCTAAACAAGAAATTGCACGATTACTCAAGGTATGTGGGTAGTAATGGTAATGATATGAAGAGGAAAAAAAAAAAGACAAAAAATACATTGAAAATAAAAAAGAATAATTCCTCTGGAAAAGGCCAGATAAGGGCCTAAGCAAAAAAAAACAACCAACAACAAACAAACAAACCCCCAAAAACCAACAAAAACAACAACAACCCAAAAACAACAACACACATACACACATGAAGATACCCCTGAAGTTACAGTAAGAGATTTGATTCAGTTGAATCACATTGTCTCAATGTGGATTTGCCATTTTAGTTTCTTCATTTGCCATGTTCTTGTTTTCTTCTTATATTTTTATGACGGTGACTCCTCCTCTTCTCCTCCTCCCCATACACACACCCACACCCACCCTTGTCTCCATGCCACACTCTATCTCTATCTCCCTTTCTCCCCTTGTCCCTCCCTCTATCTATCTATCTATCTATCTATCTATCTATCTATCTATCTATCTATCTATCTGTCTATCTTTTTTCACCAACCTAACAAGTGAGTATAAAAATACCTACAGGTACATAGACACACACACAAACACACACACACAAACACGCACACACACACACACACACACACACACACACACACACACACACGCATACACACACACACACAAACACTTTCACGCATACCCACACATACACACGCACTCATACACACGCACACGCACACGCACACGCACACGCATACACACATACACAAACACTTTCACGCACACCCACACATACACACGCACTCATACACACGCACACACATAAACACACGCACAATTTACCCATGTTTACCCTCACGTATTCTCCGTTTCCCAGCAAAAATTCGGTGACGATATACAAATCTTGGACAACCGGTCAAAGATCGGCACCAAGCGTCTCTCTGAGTACGGGACTGATGTGGACACAGATGATCTAGCCGATGACAGTGACCTGGACATTTCCACACGTGAGTCATCAAGGTCTTTTTCTTTAAGATAAGGGTTTTTTGTGAGTCTGCAATGGTTTGATAACAATTGCGCTCACAATTTTCCAGACCCATTGTGCTTCTGGTGTCGTTTTGTTCGGGATACGAATCAGAAAATATAGCGCTTGACTTATTTTTGTTGCAGGTTATTTTTTTTTTTTTGCTCTACCTGAATTCACAGACGGAAATTGCTTTCAATACAGTAGCTAATGACAAAAAGTAATAGTTTATTTCAACTTCTGTGTGAAATGTAAAAGAGGTTACTGATGTAGAAATGTGGGCACATACATGTACTCACGCACACCAACGCACACACACACACACACACACACACACACACACACACACACACACACACACAACGACGCACACGTACACACACACACACACAACGACGCACACGTACACACACATGCACACACACACACACACACACACTCACACACTCACACACGCACACATACACATCACTTTCCAGTCCCTGTAAAGCCTCAAAGCTTGCAATTTTGACTTGGACTAACAGTATGGTATACTGTCAAATATAATATCCAGCTGTTTATGTCCCTGAGATGTAACGGAGGAACGCAAAGAAGAAGATTTCCCTGCTAATCTATCGAGGCTAACTCTATAAATTGTATTCCCTCTACCCTAGATATGTTCTTGTTTTTTTTTTTAAAGAGGTCTATACCTAACTTGACGCTCACTTGCACTGCTGTTTTTGGTCGGTCTTTATACTCTATAGGTTTTCTGCACTAGCCCAAAATTAACCCTTTGTCAAATTACAAAGTATTACAAGGGACGTGAATTCACTTTTAACTAGAACATAAAAGTGTGATTGTAAACGTTTTTCTCTTCCCTCTCTCTCCCGCCCCCCCTAAAAAACAACAACAAACAAACGAAATAAAACGCACCCAGTGAAAGGCACACGTCGAGTCAACGTATTGATGAAGAGAGGAGGCCAAACACTTTTGGAGCACATGAAACGTGTGCTAGAGCAGTCACGTCTACAGGACGACACATACGCCAAGGATCTGGATGAGAGAGGTGAGTTTTGCGAGAGCGGAATATCGTCGGTGTCGCAAGCAGTCTACTCAAGTCTATTTGGGTACATTTTACACCAGAGACAAAAATCACCAACAAAAAAACCCCCTACTTTTTGTTGTGTTGTTCCTATCAGGAATCATGAAAAGCAAGAAAATTGTATGCCTTGACCATAGCATTAAACTACATTTTGGTAATGTTAAAGGGTAATGTTTTGATGGAGCTTTGGGAGGGAAAAGCGAAAATTCTCAAACTTTAGACTCTAGTGGATTGCTTGAGATAGCGACTATACGTTTATGTGTGTTTGTGTGTATGTGTGTGTGTGTGTGTGTGTGTGTGTGTGTGTGTGTGCGCGCGCGTGTATGTTATTCTGGCAGCTTCCGTCAATGCATGTTGAGTTGGGTTTTTTTTGGACAAAGTCTGATCTAACTTGTCAATGGGCTACACCAGAGATAACTGAACCAGTTGTCTGCCCAGTCGCTTGGCCAACTAGCGAGAAAACTTGGAAGAGGTGTTTGTAACGTGCTCGGACCTGGTCACCAAAATAATTCAATAACTGAATTGAACTGTATGGTGCAAAATAAATGTCCTTTTAAGATTTCTGGAGGGGGGGG